AGCAGCGCCTTCACTGCTGCCTGCTGCCAGCGCCACGTTGCCAATGCCCACATGTTCCGCGCCACCCCTTGGTGGTCAGCACACATGATAGGGAGTGGTCAAACTCCTGAGGGGACAATTTGCATATAAGGCTTTTATTATATAGGACTAGAGGCCTGGTGCATGAAATTCATCCACGGGGGGAGGGGGGGGGGCGGCGATTGTCCCTCAGCCCAGCCTGCACCCTCTCCAATCTGGGACCCCTCGGAGGATGTCCAACTGCTGGTTTAGGCCTGATCCCGACTGCTGGCTCCTAACTTCTCGCCTGCCTTTCTGTCTGATCACCCTTAACCACCTCTACCTGCTGGCCGAATTACCCCTAACTTCTCCCCTGCCGGCCTGATCACTGCCTAACTGCTCCCCTGCCGGCCTGATCTTCCCCTAACTACCCTCCTCTGCCAGCCTGATCACCCCCTAACTGCCCTCCCCTGCTGACCTGATAGCCCCTTACTGCTCTCCCCTGCAGGCCTGATCACTGCCTAACTGCTTGCTCCCCCGCACTGGCCTGATCTTGCCCCTAACTGCTTGCTCCCCTGCCAGCCTGATTGTCCCTAACTGCCTCTGCCTCAGCCCCCACCACCGTGGCTTTGTCTGGAAGGAAGTTGGACATCCAGAAGATGTCCGGTCGACCTGGTCTAATTGGCATGTTACCCTTTTATTAGTATAGATAGTAAAAGCTAGAAAAACTACAGGACAAGCTGCACAAAGAAACTGAGAGATAGTTAAACAGTTTGCAGATACCTAGTAAATCCTATCTTCCCTAAACCAAGGATACTTAAAAGGTTGCACTTCTCCCCAACCAGAGGGTAAATAGCTTAAATCACCCTACTCAGGGAGACAGATAGAAATCCAATCAGTGCCATTTCCCAACCACACCAAAGGACAAATTAAGAGGATGAATCTCATTTTGGTACATCAACATAAAGCTGATGAATATTCTATTGATCTGCCCCTAAAATATCCCCTAAACACCCAGCCTTTAAAACGTCTAAAAACAAGGGTCCCAGTATGATCTGATCTCCCTCCGGGGAATATACCTATGCTATTCCCTTCACCCATCCGTCCCCCACAGGCAGGTCTCCCCTGACCTCTAAGGGACCCCAGGAGGCTTGCAGCCAGGGGCAGCAGCAGCTCATCCCAGGCTAACCCCCTGAACCTGTCTCCATGGCCCCCTGTCCTCTGACTTCCCGGTGAGGCAAGGCTGCCCAGCCTGGGCTCTCCTATTGCTGCTTCTATGTCTTCCTTGTTTCACTCTCCTAAGTATGTTTTTGCTGCAGTCAATAAGTTCTTGCTTGCTTTTCTACACTTTGTCTCTTGATTGAAACCATTCCCTCAAGAAGAACCAAGGTCTCATTGTCTCCCCGGTAACACTTTGACCGAAGTGAAGGTCCAGGCATTCGGTTTGCAACTAGACCTGGGTTTGAATCTAACTATATAGAGCTCATATTGGCTATTTCATCTTGGGAAAATTAACCTTTTTTTCCCCTATTTAGCAGCCAAATTGGATCAAAATATTCACTATAGAGTTTATTTTCCAAGATTCAGTGAGACAACATGAAGAACCTAGCACAATGATTTCTATACATAATGGGCTAATGAAGGTTTGTTCTCTGCCCTGCCCTTTGACACTGCTTTAATCCACTTTCTGGCTCACTTGTGGGTTCTGGAGGGATGTGTCATTCGGGGATTAGAAAGTTGACTAAAGGAAGGCAAAGTAAAAAGAGGCCTAACTTGCCACCAGAACTAGTCCTCCCCAGCACCGGCTGCCCTTAGGGAAGATAGGATTTACTAGGTGGCTGCAGGGAGAGAGCACTTCTGGCCAGAGCTGTTTGGGCTGCAGACGCCTGAGCCCAGCATGTCCTCTTTGGAAGGCAGTTTTACACACTTCATTCTGCTCTGGGTGGTACAGACGGAGGGGAGTTGTATTTGTTAATTGTACAGAGCACAGCTTTTGACACAGGGTCTCTAATGTGTGGTCTTTTTTCCTTTTAAAGCATATATCAAAATAGCTGAGAAAAACAAGCTCTGCAGCCCTGAGTCATTCACGTGATAAAATGCCACCAGCTGTGTTGACCAAATAGCCCTGGCACTGTGAAGCCAGGTAAACACGGAGTGGGTGGGGAGTTGGGCTGCAGGCAAGCACTCTCAGCGATAACAGGGACGCAAGGCCACTCAAGGGCGAAATGGGCCAGTTCCTGAGAATAATTGGTGGTTTCATGCAGCAAACACAAAACAAAACAAATAAGGCTGAATGCTTGGAGCTTGTTCAAATCTCTGAGTAAAATCATATCTGAAAGAAAACACAGCTAGAAATATGGATTACAAGTCTTCTCTAGAGTAAAAACTGGCTGAAACTGATTTTGTGAACTAGTTTATTTTCCAGAAATGACTGCACTTATTTCAACAGTTAGCTTGGTGCTATATCCATGGGTAAGTGGACAGCATACCTCAGCCCACACACAAAACCTCCAAATACAACAAATAATGACGTGCTTACTGCCGGTGACATTTCCACAGCAACTGGTGCACTGACAGTACTGTGACCAAAGGGGCACTGCGACAGCCAGAGGCCCGTGTACATGCTGGGAACACCATCCACACTGCAAAACCGCACGCTGCCCCTGGAGCTCTGCCAGGCGTGCCCCTGTCTGCCGAGTCACCGCTCTTCATTAGTTAACCACCATTTGCTTTGCTCTTTTGCAACCTTGACCTCCGATTTCACAATACAGTCTGTGAACTTTTTTTAAATGCAGAGCTTTATAGGAAAACAACTCTACATTGGGGAAAACGTGGCAAACAGTCTGCTATTCAGGAGTGGCCTTCTTTTTCTCGTTTCCACCCACAGGGTTAACAGCTGTGGGGCAGGATGTATCTGGATGGCAAATTCTCTCCCACCTCTCTCTCTCTCTCTCACACACCCCTCCTCTCCCTCTATGGTGGTGATAAGCTTCCATTTTATACTAAATATAAGGAGAGTGAACTTCTATGTTTGTCCTTTGGGGAACTTGTAACAGTGAAATAAGCATAAATAAACCAATCAGGATAACAGGCATAAATCAAGATGCTCCTTGCAAAACTGGATGTATGCTCACCCTACGGAGATCTGAGATCTACCAACATATATGATAAAAGCTAAACACTCACTCATCTCTGATAGTGATTTCAGACTGAATTCTAAGGGGCAAATTGGACTATTTGACACATCATTCACACTTGATTCCCAGGAAGAAGTATCAGAGTGTCAATCAATCTTCCATGGGACAGGAGTGAAAAGACATTCCCTAAGCTGCTTTTACTCTGAGACTTAACTCCACAATGGCCAGGGGCACTGAGAGGCTTTACAGCTGGACCAGCAGGAATCATGGGCGTGGCTCTGAGATACTACTGTTCAGGAAGGAACATCCAAATCGGAGCCCTCAAACACCCAGCTTGCCTTTGCTCCTGAACTAAGTTATTTAATTTTAGGGATTTATGAAAGTAGAGGGCTGGTCTAATCCCATCCAAGGACAAATGATCTCCAACAGAAAGACCCAGAGATAGGTCAGACTAGACTAGGCAAAGGCCTCCTAGGGAGACAGAGGCTCTAAGTTCAAAGTACCCCTCGGATTTAGTGATGGTCTGCCCCGCCGTTCCGTGCACTCCAGGGACTGCTCCCCATGTGTAGGGAACTGGGATCTGCCAAGTATTTGTTGTGATTTTTACCTTTTTTGGCTAATCCTCACCCAAGGATGTTTTTTCTATTGATTTTTTAGGGAGTAGGAGGGAGGAACAGGAGTGGGGTAGAAATATCCATTGGTTGCCTCCATGCACCCTGACCAGGGCCAGGAGATTTGAACCTGCAACCCAGCTACGTGCCCGTGACTAGGAATCGAACCTGTGATCCTTAGTGCACAAGCCGACACTCTAACCACAGAGCAAAACGAGCCTGGGTTATTTGTTTTAAATATTTATCCCATTTCATTCTTAGGCAGTGACTAAGTCCATTACCTTAAAAATATAATTCATATCTTAATTCAAATATTAGCTTCCATTTGGCTTTATGAGAAACACCTAAATATTTTTCTGCCAGTAGTGACAGGTGTCTTATTCCCAGTGCTTTGATGTCAACATCAAAACTCCTTACAACTTCTCTTAATTTTCTCTTGCTGGGCTCGGGCTCCTTCCTTCCCTCAATCCTGGCTGCACTTTCTCAGTCGGTACCACTGGGCGTGGTTTGGTGGTGGGTGGAGTCCTGCCATGGATCTTTCATAACCACCTAAAACTGCAGAGGTAGACACCACTTGGAGATACAGATGCAAGATTACAGTATCAGAGACAGGTTTTGAAGTTCTTTAAGAAAGCAGTGTCTACTAATCTTTTTTTCACTGTCTCCTAACTTGCACCCCAACTGCTCACTCATGTGTTAGTCCCTGACAGAGTGGACTCAAATGGTCAGAATGCCCAAGTTTGTGTAACCCCAGGAGCCTTACCTACATGCCTTTTCTGCTTTAGCCTTACTCCGACCAAGATGTGAAGGGAATATGTTTAGTTGGGACTTAGAGCAAAACCAGGTGTACAGAGCAACGCCTCTCCAACTTCAGTGCACAGCAGAATCATGGGATTAAAAATACAGGCGCCTACGCAGAGATTCTGAGTGGGTAAAATCTGGAACAAGGCTTAGGCATCTGCACATCCCCAATTCCACCCCCTATATTCTGATGTAGGCGGTCTTCCCCCGCCAGTTTAGAAAATCACATAAAACAGTGACAAAGCATTTACCACGCACACACCACCGTCGCACCGCACTGCCCCACCTCCACACGCACATTTGGATGGTAGCCCCTGGTCAGCAAACTTGTACACGTCTGACCACATGTGAACGAATACTGCCACCAGTCACCCACTCAGATGTTCTTCTCAGAGACTCCACCTGCCGTCCATCGTAATGCATACTAAGCAAAGACAACAGCTCTGAACTCACGGCGAGTTTAAGGTATACAATTACTTTATTTCCTTGGCCTGACAGCATAAACATTACACAAGAACCTGCAGCTGACAGAATCAACACCCAGATTCCCCCACACAGGAAGAACCCTTTTTGTGAGCAGAGATGAGCTGAAATGTCATGTCTGAGTGCTCCCCACCCCCACCCAGAATAACCCCTAAAGTGAAAATAATCAGAATCAACAGAACCCCCACGAATTACTAAAAGTCACCCTCTCCAGCTTTTCTAACTAGCAGCTGCAGTAAAGGAAAACCCCAGGAGGGCAGCAGCTGGCCATCACTTAGCATTTCCGTGCCTGTGAGACAGAAGGGACAGCAGGAGGGAGGACAGCCGTTGAGTCTGTGATGGGAAATGGCTGAGGCTCATTAAAGTCCAAGGTAGGGGTGGGACTAAGGGTGCCAGAGAGCGAGCAGGTTGGGCAGAGATGTTCAATACTTCATCAGTTCCAGTTAATGCTATCAAAACTACCTTCATTGTCACGTCCTTTTTCCTAAAGTGAGCGCCATCTAAATTTCTGTCTGACATCTATCCCCGTCACTGGGGTGGTGCTTGATGTCTGTGAGATTATGATTGGGGGGGAGGGGAGAGACGTGGCGAGGAGAAGGAGGAGATGGAGGAGGAGGAGGTGTACAGGTAGGAGAGATGGGGCACAATGTTTGAATTACAATGTGTCTCTTTTGGTCCCAGGAATGGTCCACTACCAGTAGTCCTAAAACATTCCCCTCCCCTCCCCGCAGCTAAATTGTGCAAATGTCAGAGAGAATCTCTGCCTGAAGAGAAGGGAGAGCCGGAAGTGGATGCTAGTCCACAATCATCTCTGGCCCCCACTTGCCCACCTCCTGTCTCTTCTAAAAAAAACAAACAAAACAAAACAAAACGAAAGAACACAAAAATTAATTCGCAGCAATGCTATGAAATTCTATCCTCTCCATTCCTCGAGCAAAGCTAATCCAACGGCTCTGTCCTGACATGCTTTCTCCCTGGGCCGAGGAAGCAGCAAAAAATACCAGTTGAGCAGGTGAAAATATGATGACGGCGTGTACGGTGCAGTGTTTCCAGGTGTCTTCACCTTCTGTCTCCTCCATGGCGGGAGCTAACGATCTCTTCCCCACGTCCCACACACTTCCCTCCCCCTCCCCCGAGTCCAGGTGCTCCCATCTGCTGGGCTGCCACCACTCACTTCCCATACACACTCTCATCACTGTAGGCCACGTACAGAAAGTAGTCTTCCTCATGGTTGTCCTAGGGGAAGAGATGAGGACAAGTCAGGAAACATCATCCCATTCATTATCTCCACGACTAGAACATAATCCTTATCTTTAAAAGCTCATTCTATCTAGCGAGGAAAACACAGATACAACAAAACATGCACATTGAGATATACACTGATAGGGAATCTATGCCACGGGATAACAATTAGATTAGAATATTCGAAGTTTATTTAACTCACTAAAGGGGCACAGGAGGCAACATCTTGTGTGAAATCCTTTCAGGAATAAGTTACACTCTTAGGTGATATAGCAAGACAAAGTCCTACACTATAATTTTCTCATATTGGATTCTGACAGTTTACCAAGGAAACCAAATAAAATCACAAACATTGGTCTGGCCAGCATGGCTCAGTGGTTGAGCATCGACCTATGAACCAGGAGGTTGTGGTTCGATTCCCGGTCGGGGTACATGCCCAGGTTGGGGGTTCAATCCCCACTGTGGGGTTTGCAGAAGGCAGCCGATCAATGATTCTCTCCTATCACTGATGTTTCTCTCTCTCTCTCTCTCCCTCTCCCTTCCTCTCTGAAATCAATAAAAATATGTATTTTTAAAAAATCACATACATTATTCTCTCCAGCTGAGTTTACCTGTTAAAACAATTTAAAGATTTTGGTCTTAATTATAAATTTCAGTTTATTTGAAACTTTCACAATCAAAAGCCATTTCCTACTGTTTCAATAACGAGAATCCCATGTTAAAATGCTCTAGGCAAGGCTGGTCGGCGTGGCTCTGTAGTTGGGTGGCAACCTATGAACCGGGAGGTCATAGTGCAATTCACGGTCAGGGCACACGCTCAATGATTCTCTCTCGTCATTGATGTTTCTGTCTGTCTCTCTCTCTCTGAAATCAATAAAAACATATTAAAAAAATAATAATACTCCAGGCAAGGCAAGACAGGAACAAGAATTAAAAGGGATTGCATTTAGTAGCTGCTCTGTTCCTGAAAGACAGTGCTGTCTAATCTCACAGAGCCTCACAGTGCCTGCGTGAGTAAGAGGATCCTGATAGACAACACCTCCTGTTCCACTTCCCAGGTGTGTTATCAAAATGCACTAGAACAAAAGCCGGAGAACACCAGACCTGTCCGTACTGTTGTCACCAGGACCATTACCTCATACAGCTGGCCCATGGTAGCGCTGGTGGGAGGGATAGTGTTGTTGACAAAGAAGAATAAGGCGTCCTCAGGTCTCAGGTGGATCCTCTTCCGGATTAAGAAGTAGAACTGGCCAACTGGATGAAGGAAGAAGGTTTTATAAAAGAAAGGCAAGAGGAGAGAACACAAGGGACTAGGAGAATCCTGCTACACCTGCTCCCTTTAAAGTACCACCTTTACATACCATCTGAACAGAGCCCATTACTGTCCCATAGCGATAGAAATAAAGTGAAACTCAGACTTGTACTCCCTTGTACTTGTAATAGGCCACTGAGCAGTTTATTCCTCAGAAAATAGGAGCTTACCTTCATTTACGCAAATTTAGACCCGATGCTAGCATATCCACGCTAAGCCTGAGGACAGCTTTGAGGGAACACTATATATCCAGACTGCAACAGCCCCAGCATTGTCTAAGTCTGATTTGAAGCACACTTCCTTCCTAACACAAATTAGTCATAGGAAGTGGTCTTCTCGACTCCAGTAACCTTAGCACCACCACTCATCCCAATGCTGGGACAATGGAGTTCAACGCTTTCCCTTTTACGGAGCCCACTGAAGAAATTCTAGGAGGCTGATATTTAAATCTAAGACCTCTAGAGCAAACATATTTAAAAATCTTTCTAGTGTCTCCTGAATGCAGTGATAATTCCACTAAGGATCAAGGTGAAGAATGAATATATCCTCCACAATTCCAAATGTTAACCAAAGTATCTGTAAAACGTTAACCAAAAAAAATGTTGTTTGGGGAGACAAGGAAATCATTTGAGAATCTCTAAAATGTGATTCTTGCACGAAACTAATCTGGTTTTCCTCTTGGAATAAAGTGACATCATAGTAACAAAGATAATGTTAAGTGCTTTAAATAACAGACATCTGATCTCTTTCTATGGTTTATACTTTTCTGTGCCTGCATCAAACAAGGCACTACGATGCGAAATGCTTAAGGGGCTGGTGATGGGCAATAATTATGTCACCATTTTGAATAACCTAACTTTCTGAAGAACCCTACTTCCTTCAACCTACGTCCTCAGTCTCACAATCTTCATGCACGCAGGAAGGACTAGGAACGCTTTGCTATGGGAGGAAGGGTCAGAGAAGAAGAGCATTACCAGTGAGGTCAGAGGGCACCAGGTACTTCCTCTTGTCCAGATCAGGCACCCTGGCCTTAGGAGCCTTCTCGACGATCACCTGGCAGGAGTCAAAGAATGGAATGAAAACTACGGAAACCAACCTAGTATTTTTCCTTCCACGTCCTACCGTTTCCCCATTGGAAGTGAGTTTGACTACTCCCAGGAACATTTTTGCATTTCTTATTCTCCCTTACAAATATATGGGGAAATGGGCTTTCTTAGAAAGGTTGTAGTTTTATTACGGCAATAACAAGAGGATGGACAGGGCATGTGATGAAAAGTAAAAAGAATCTTGATTTTAAGTAATTACAAGTTACCGGTCAGGTATACTATAGGATAAATGCCTTCTGGTCTTTAATTAGAGCATTAAGGTTCCCTAGGTCTTCTCAATGGTCCAGAGTACCTGTTAGTTTTCTTTCTTATAAATGCCATTTATTAAAGTTATAGATGATGTGGTTTAAATTTTATACTTTGTCAAGTTTTTTGAGAATGACCACAAAAAAAAGTTCAAGACACTATTTTATTAAGCAAAAGAATTAAGTAGTAAAATAGTTCTTACAGTGTGATATTCTGTGCTATCTCAGTACAATAACCCATTTATAAATATTATGTTAAAATTTCAAGGGATTTTTCAATGTCTATAAATATTCCTATATTTGAAAATTTAGAAAAACCATAGATTTCCATAGGAGGAGTAAAAATTAAAGATTTGCCCTGGCCAGTGTGGCTCAGTTGGTTGGGCATCATCCTGTGCGCCAAAAGGTTGCTAGTTCCATTCCTGATTAGAACATATGCCCAGGTTGCGGGCTCGTGCAGAAGGCAGCCATTCGATTGATCGATATTTCATTCACTCTGACATGATGTTTCGCTCTCTCTCCCTCTCCCTTCCTCTCTCTCTCAAACAATTAACTTAAAAAAATATTTTTAAAAAATTAAAAACTTTTTACTCATGTAAATTTATAAAATAGAAGACTTATAAATATTTAACATTTTAAATATTTAAATAATATATTTAAATTTAAATTACATACTACAAAAGTATATTTAGTATTTATAGATTTATAATCCATGCATATTATATATTTAAATTTTAAATATTTAAAATCTATTATAAAGCCATGAGATTTAGACTTTTAGTTTAGAAACTATCATTACCCTAGACAGAGGATTTGGAAAGTATAGGAAAATTACAGAAGCAGAAATAAACACTGGTCAAGTATCCCCAGTAGCTGTTTGATCTTCAACAGGTCACTTAACCTCTCTAAGCTTCAGCATTCCAATGAGTAAAGGGAAGATGATAACTTTCCAACATCTCCCTTACAAAGTTATGATCCTGGTACGGTGGACTTGAGTAACCGATAAAATTTTATGTGAAAATGCTTTGTGAATTATACAGAGGTATCTAAACACACGGACTGGCTTAGAGGAAAGTGTCTAAAGCTTTTAAATTTAAGGAGACCGATTAAAATAGTGAAAAACTGCCCTGGCCAGTGTGGCTCACTGGTTGTGCATCAAAAGGTTGCCAGTTCAAGTCCCCCACATGCCCAGGTTGGGGGTTCCATCTCCAGAAGGGGGCCTGCAGGAGGCAGCTGATTGATGGTTCTCTCTAATGTTTCTCTCTTTCCCCCTTCCTCTCTCTCTAAAATAAAAAAAACAAATAACAGTAGTGAAAAACTTATTTTATGTATACGGAGAAAAATAATCCTATACCATGAAGACCAAAGGAGCATAACACTTAAAAATAAAATCTGTAGTAGCCCAGTCGATGTGGCTTGGTGGTTGAGTGTCGACCTATGAATCAGAAGGTCACAGGTTTTGGGCTCGATCCAAACAGTGTGTGTGTGTGTGGGGGGGGGGGGGGGGGGTGGGGGGGGGGGTGCGTGCAGGAGGCAGCCAATCGATGATTCTCTCTCATCATTGATGTTTTTATCTCTTTCTTGCTCTCTGAAATCATTTTTTTTTTTTTTAAATAAAAGAAGGAAACCACAACAAGGAAGCAGAAAAAAAGCCAACTGCAAAGAAGACATCCGCTAGGGGGAGTAGGTGGGAGGGCTTGGAGAGGAAAAGGAAGGAGAGGAGCAAAGCGCTGCTTTACCAGAAAATGTTTAGGTTTCCAAGAATCCCAACTCTGCTACTCTCTTACAGTGAGCTCTGGGCCAGAGGCTTTGCTCATGTTTTTCTCTTCTGTGAAATGTCATGTGGCTAGTACTCCTTGGGGCTGTTCATGTATTTAAAAAATAGACAGTGGGAAAAAAAAAATAGACAACCTGTGCCTAACAGTTTCCTGCAATGTCACAGGTTTTCAACACACAGTAGCTATGAAGGTCATCTTAAGAACCCATGAAACCCTTCTCCCTTGAGGCACAATCACTCCTATTCAGGTGTGGCCGCTCTGGAGACTGCTGGGGCTCAGCTTGAGTTATGTGAGCGTCAGGGTACGTGGCTGCTTTACCACCACCCATCAACGGTGGGGCTGAAAGGGGGTTTGGAAATAATCTACTCTAACCCTCTATTTGGTAAGCAGAACACTTTAACAAGATTCAGGGTTCTATCCCAAAGTGGGATCAAACCTCAGAACTCAGCAAAGCTCTTCTTCCTGCGTCACAGCTAGAAAGAAGGTCACAGGCTGAGGACCTAAGGAGCAGCTGGGAGGCTTATTACCGGTTAAAACTTAACTGGAGGGACGATGAAGTCTGAGTGATGGTCCAAATAGTTTACAAATTATACCATTTTGTGAAAATTTAATACCAAACTCAGCAGAAGGGAATAGGGAGAATTAGCTGAAACATTCCAGGTGAATGCATGGAAATGGAACTGGGATGGATCTCAATGTTAAGGAAACATAGGAAATTTAGCTAGATTTAGGAACAGGTACATTTCAGAGTTGGGACATACACAGAGCTACTAAGAACAGAGCTCCATACCACCCTGGACTCTTGATGGAAGCAATAGTTTATTCTCTACATCCAATACCTGTGAGGTACACAGTGCACACACTTAATTCTGATAGAATTGTATTAGACACGGAGGAGCATTATACATTATAGCAGGAAGCACCCAAAGCAGGTCTGCAACAGACCAGCTGTGTGAAGCCTTTATAAAGTTACTTCATTTATCTGTGCGCTTCAGTCTTCCTCTATAGAATGGGGATTATAATGGTGGGCGGATGATTAAGATAGAGTGAATGACTACAGGCAGAAAATGCTCAGGTTCGCGGCCAACTATCAATACAGTTAACTGTCACTTCTAGATGTTATTATAGGAGAGTGGAGTATCACCCGATTTGGGAGAAACTTTAGAAGCGGTCACCCAAGAGCCAGAGACCAGCAAAGCAATAAGCGAAGGATCCTTTTTGGTGTGCAATTTCCAGAGAATGGTACAGCCCTCACGTCTCCTCTTCCTTAGAGGAAAAGGACTGTCCTTAGAGGAAAAGGATTGTTCCCGTTTCTACCAGATTGCCCTGGTGGCTGTGAGATCATGACATTTAGATAAGGATCGGTGAGGAGGCCTGAGCATACCTGCTGGGTCAAGAAAGCAACATCAGATCATCGAAATTCCTTTACCTGTAAGTTATGTGCAACATGGATCTTAATGTCCCTGCCTGAAGATAGAGATTACAATCTAAAGTTTCTGCTCCTTCATCCCCAAAATATAACGGTTGTTGCTCCCTCTAACACCCGTAACAGTCTTCTGCTCTCCAGTCCGGCTGTGTAGCCCACAGGAGAGAATAACCCGGCAAGTGACGGGGGCGGGGGAGGGAGGGGGGGTGGTGATGGGAAAAACGCCCGGATGCAGAAACATACCCTTGCTGTTCCTCCTCAATTACATTAACCAGGGTCCCCAAAACCCAGAGAAAAACGCCCGGGCCTTCCTGACTGTGTCTAATGACAAGCTGATCAGAATAAGCAGCGGAGGAAGCTGCCTGCCCCCACAGCCCGGGAGCCAAGAACGAGGCAGCCCGGCTGCTGCGCAGAGAACGTGACCTTGTTTCCCGGGCCAGGCCGGTCTTGGGGCACTTTCCCCCCCAACCCCCCACCCCCCGCAACCCTAACAGAATGAAAAAAGAAAAAAAAAAGGCCACTGGCTTCCGAACCTTTGCCTCCCAAACCCAATGCTATGAGGACCAAAAGTCAACTCGATTAAGGGAGAGCCAGCTAAGGCAGACATCTATGGGCGCAACAACCAGAGATTTCCCCCCAAATCAGTTTCCCTGCGGCCTTAAAGGAAGCAAACAGACGGGCCCGACCTAACCGTCCTCGCACAACAGGGCCACCTTCTGAGCGCCTGCCAACCCACACAGCCTCGGATACCGCTGAGTCATTCAAACGCAGACTCCGCGGGGGGATGCGGTCCGCTGCCAAGATGGGTGCGGGCCCCGGGAAAATGGGTTTTTAAAGATCCGCAGTCGGCGCACCCGTTCCGCTGGCTCTCCCGCAGTGACGGGCGAGCAGGGACGAGTAATTGCGGGGACCAGCGCTCCGCTGCGCCTTAGGGCAGCCATCACGACTCGCCCCCCTCCCCCCGTCCTCCTATGCCCCCCTCCCCCTCCCCCTCCTCCCTCCCCCGCAACTCACAGGGACCCTGTCCGGGTATTTCTTCCGGATCTTTTCTCCTTCCTTTTTCCGATACTCGAAGGGATGGTCCTCCTTATACTGGAACTTCATGATGAACCGCAGGGTTTCCAAGATCCCCGGGCGGGGGCCTGCCTCCAGGGCTGATGACTGCGTCGCTCGCGTCGGGCCTCCTTCCGCCAAATTTCAGGACGTCGCAGGATCGCCTCGGAAATGGCAGCTCCCGTCGCACCGCAGCTCTAGGCCGAGCTCTGGGAAGGGATCTCGGCTCCTCGCGTCTGCAGGTCCAGCCAGGCCGAGTGAAGAACCCGCGGCGGCTTTCCCCGAAAGCTGGGAACACAAAACAACACGGCGGCGCGTTGGGATTGTGACGTCACGGCGCCCCGCCCTTCGCCCCGCCCCCGGCGCCCCGGACCCCGCGGGATGGGGGGTGGGGGAGACAGACACGTGGTTGACTTCAGTGTCTTCTCTTCCTATCTAACCTTGTCCTGAATAGAATCCATTGCAAACAGAAACAGATTTTATACTTCTTATTCTATGGAGAGTGTGACATGCAAAAAGGTTTTAAAAACAAAAAAATATGTTCTAAAGATGTCTTCTTCCCTCTTCCTCGCTGCGTCTTGGTTGGGTCCAAAAACGAACACACTGGGGGGAAAAACCAGCCTTTTCCAGCTGGTTGGGATCTGGAATCTGGGGAACCGGGGAGGGGGTTCTGGGGTGCCTTTGGCCGGTGCAGACGTGCCCTGCGCTTGCATGTAGCCCTTTGCCGCTTCAGTTGCACCCGCCGGGCACCTTGGGAGCTGGGCTGGCTTCCTTAGCCCGTGACCCCTCCTTCACCGCTTGGCGTCATTTTGTTTGTGTTCCTGCTGCCGCTTGCGCCTGGAGCAGGAACATAAACAAATCGTGACTCAGGAATTCGAAGAGCCCTATTAGGTGAAGGGCATGAAGTGCAACCGAGGTCCCCAGAGGGGTGTCAGCCATGACTCCAAGGGCTGCATGCATGCTCAAATATAGAAATGATTCACTTTGTCCTGTTAGCTCAGAAGATGGGGAGAGAAAATATCAAGATTGAAGTGATTAACTCAGTGGCTCTTCTCAAACTTTTTTTTTTCTTATACAAACATTTACCTGAAGGATAGATAGGACTACTGCTTAAGTGTCCCCAAGGTGAATAGAAAGTGCCACCAGAAAGGGTGGCGGGCCCTCCCGTACCTCACCAAGAATCAAAGGGACTAGGCAGGGGTGGGCAAACTTTTTGACTCGAGGGCCACAACGGGTTCTTAAACTGGACCGGAGGCCGGAACAAAAGCATGGATGGAGTGTTTGTGTGAACTAATATAATTTCAAAGTAAACATCATTACATAAAAGGGTACGGTCTTTTTTTTTTTTTTTTTTAGTTTTATTCATTTCAAACGGGCCAGATCCGGCCCGGGGGCTGTAGTTTGCCCACGGCTGGACTAGGGCTTTTCCAGCCTCTGTTGATGGCAGGGACCTATTGAGGGAGGGCAGCAGAAAGTATAAGAAGTGTGAGGAAGGGCTGCTTACCCAGAACAAGCTCAGGACGTTCTGAAAACTGTATGAGACAACGCAGCCAGTATGGCTCAGTTGTTGAGCTTGGACCTATGAACCAGGTCAGGGTTCCATTCCTGGTGAGGGCAAATGCCTGGGTTGTGGGCTCAATCCCCAGTAGGGGGCGTGCAGGAGGCAGCCGATCAATGATTCTCTCTCATAGTTGATGTTTCTCTCTCCCTTTCCCTTCCTCTCTGAAATCAATAAAAATATATATATTTTTAAAAACTGTATGAGACAAAGGGCAGCCCCTGTCACCTACATTGTATCAAGTCTCAGTGTCTCTGATTTAAAAAAATAAAGCCACAAAGTAAAAAAAAAACTAAGCTGTACTGTTGAAACAGGAAAGTGAATTGTATAGCCCTACTTCTTGATGTTAATTGTTTTTCACCCTGGCATCTTTCAATCATTTTTATGGGTGAAAATCCACCCCAGAGATGGGAGGAATGTTAAAGAATCTGTGAACATGTTTTAAAACCACCACTATTATTCAAATCCATTCTTTTTTTTTTATATATATATTTTATTGATTTTTCACAGAGAGGAAGGGAGAGAGATAGAGAGAGTTAGAAACATCAATGAGAGAGAAACATCGATCAGCTGCCTCTTGCACATCCCTCACCAGGGATGTGCCCGCAACCCAGGTACATGCCCTTGACCGGAATCGAACCCGGGACCTCTCAGTCCGCAGGCTGACGCTCTATCCACTGAGCCAAACCGGTTTCGGCACAAATCCATTCTTAATTAGTCTTTAAGTTTTGTCTTTATCATTTCTAGGAGAGAGAGAGAGAGAGAGAGAGAGAGAGAGAGAGAGAGAGAGAGAGAGAACCCACTAAAGCCAGAATAAATATAATAAAACCATATTGTTACAGAGCAGTAAGAAGCTAGAAAAATTTCAGGACAAGCAGAATAGGGAAGCTAAGATAGGTAAACAGCAGTTTGCAGCCACCTGATAGTAAATATTGTCTTCCCTAAACCAAGGATACTTAAGAGTAAATAGTAAATGGTTTGTACTTCACCTCCCCAACCACAGGGTAAATAGCATAAATCACTCTACTCACAAAGACAGATAACAGAACCCCAGTTATTGCCATTTGCCAACCACACCCAAGGACAGACAAATTAAGAGAATAAATCTCATTTTGGTACATCAGCATAAAGATGCTGAATATTCTATTGATTCTCCCCTAAGACCTCCCCTAAACACCCAGCCATTAAAACCCTTGAAAATGAAGGTCCCAGTTCTCTCTCCCTCTAGAGAGTATGCCTGTGCCATTCCCTCCCCGCTCTCCTTCCCCCATAGGCACATATCTCCTCAACTTCAGAGACCTCAGGAGACTTGCAACCATGGAAGCAATAGGCAGTGGCAGGTTGGTCGCCCAAGGCTAACTTCTTGAACCTGTCTCCAAGTGAGCCTTTTTCCTGACTTCCCAGTGGGCCTAGGCCTCCTGTTACTTCTATGCCCTGCCTAGTTTCACTGTCCTAAGTGTTTCTGCTATCCTCAATAAATTCTTGCTTGCTTTTCTACACTTTGTCTCTTGATTGAAATCTCTCCTTCAAGAAGGCAAGAATCAAGGTCTCATCAACTCGCCTGTAACACTATTTCAACGTGTCATTTCTTTTCTTAATATCATTCCATGGTTATGGATTCTCTGTTGACCTTGGGGAAAAATTCAATAGAAACATTACAATAAAGTTGAGGAAATTTCCTAGGAAGTAAAATAGTAAGACAGATGGAAAGAGGGAAAAGGGATGCAAATTAGAGTTTCAACATTCAAATACTAGGAGTCTCAGAGAGAATTCAGAAAATGGGGAAGGGAAGTTAGAGTTTAATTATAACAGCTAGTTTTGCCTTAAAAATCCTAAGGGAATCTTGTGACAAGCTAAATTATCATTTAAAGTATAAGGGTAGTACATGACACTCCTTAAACATGGAAACCAAAATTTCATTGCTTGTGTATCTGTTTTCAGGAAGCACCTGCGAAATGGGTAAGTAAACCAAGAAAGGAAAAGACATGGGATACAGGAAACAGGATTTGACACACGAGAGCGATGAGGATAATCACCAAGGTAGTAAAAGTGGTTAATAGTTACTAATGTTTTAAAATACAAGCTATATGTATAGTATGTGTCTATTAACCCCCATAGTCCTCACATAATAATGTAATATACTCATCTTATCCCAATTTTACAGCAAGAAATTGAAATATAGAACTATTAAGTAACTACACCATAACTGATTGGACAAGGAGTAAGGGAAAGAACCAAAGTATTAATCCACAAAGCCTGCTTCCCATTGCACTCATATAATCAAAATTGTGATATATACTAGTAACTATATTTAGAAGACAGGAGGGCACAAGAAATGTTCAGAGTGTTATGGTGGTGTGGGGGTCCATAACAAGCCACCCCAATGTGCTTCAGTGGAATACAGATTACTTTGAGATTTTAGATTAGACTCCAGAGAAACTTCTACTCCTCTTCCCCTTGACTATCTGGAGGAATTTGAATTAGAGACCTTGCCCATAAGAGATTATCAGAGATAACTGTTTTTGACCTGTCAATGTATAGGCCAAGGCAAACTACTAATATTGAATGTCTGCTCTTCTTATCATCCTGCAATGACTTTGGAAGCCCCCAGTGCACCTTACCTCACCTCCAGCTCAGATTGCCTTGTATACCTCAATCCCCCTTTCTATCGCTGAACCTCTCATGTATGCAGGGTCTCTGACTCTCTCATGTGGGTGGGTTTTCTGAGCACAGAAAGTTAACTTTGATTTTCTCTTGTCAGTCTGCCTCCTGTTATTTTGATTATTCCAGCCAGTCAAAAAGAACCAGAGGGGGAAAGAGGAATATTTCCCCTGCCCCATAGTAGCAAAGATAGGGATCATGGTAATAAAAAAAAAAATGCCTAAATTTTCATCTTCAACAATGCAACACATGCATAGTATTTGGAGAAATGTAGAATTTACAGGATCAGCTAAAAAGTAGGAAGTTTTCGTATATGTATGGGTGTGATGGGAAGGTGCTGCTTTCCTTCGCAAGCCTTGTCGAGCTCTTTGACGTTTACATCTCTATTAATGCATACATTTGATGAAAGGAAATAAAAATTAAACTTAAATATAAGAGCAAAAGGTTTTTCAGTTTGTTTTTTAAAGTCTTAGGAAGTTGAGTGTAAAACCAGCTCAGACATTCAGCTCCCTGCAAATTACATCACTGCTCTATAATTTAGCCTCCAACACAAGGAGTTTGGAGAGCCAAATGGTGCCCTGTGGGCATTCAAATGGTAATGTGTACTTGCCAGTTCTTTGACTTTTAATAACTTTTGTCCCCTTTGAATTGAATTTGCATTTATCCACTTTGGTACTTACTGAGTTTTAATTTATAACACTTTTGAGAGAGGGAAAGGGTAGTTAGTACTCAACTTTACCACCTATGATAATTAATATTAACACCATAGGGGAGAGCAAATTCTAAATCTAGTTAGTGCAAGAGGGGAGTAAGAGAGATCCTGTACAGGCAAGTTGGATATACAAACTGGTATTCAAGAAAGGTCTAGAATGCTTGAAACATTGATATCACTTGCCAAACAAGGACTGCAATCACCAAAGGGCAACATGAACAATTAAAGCATTAGTACCATGAGGCTGAAATAAAGAGGTGCTACATGTAGCCCGCCTGATTTCATGACTCTGCCTATAAATAAGCTTTTATGAAAAAAGTTGAAGAAGCATGTCTGTGAGATAGACAGTTCAATAGCCGTTGACTAGTCTCCCTGTCTTCTACATCTCACAGCTCTTCTCTCCTGACAGCCAAAACATCTTACAAGCCACATGATCTCCTTCCCCTCTTCAAAAACTTAACCGTGGCTCTCATAGCATGCAGGATAAAGATCAAACTGCTTAAGCGCCTATGTAATGCCTTCCATAAAAATGCCAACCTGTCTTTCCAGATTCATTCTTATTATATCCCTTAGCATTTTGAACACTCTCCACGATTCACATTCTCATTATTTCTATCTTTGCCCATTGACAGAACATGCTCGTATCCTGTATATCTACTGTTTAGAATTCTAATTTGTCAGGTTTCAACTCAAACACTAACACTTTCATTTCAAACTCTTAAAACCATGAGGTGATTTTCCGAAGTGGGAAAGTATACTTCTGGCTTCACCAAGGTGAAGGTGACAACAGAAGGACCCTGGCCAACATTACTCAGAGACAGCAGGCAAAATATTTTCCACAGTGAACTCTCAATATATCTTGGCCAATCCATAAATCACTCAAATTGTTTTCCCAGGCAGACAGCCTGCCCAAGGGCAGATTTCCCATTATGGCCTCTTGATTACCTTCCAGACAATCTGCTTATCCAAGGAAAAGAAAACACAGCTTGCTGTTCCCAGACTTTGCAATTTTTCTCCCCGTCTCTTAAATTGGTTACATAAACCTCATTTTTGCTTTATTCCCACATACCCATATATAAATAAGCTCTTTTTTAAAAAATATGTTTTTTATTTATTTCAGAGAGAGGAAGGGAGAGGACGAGAGGGATGAAAGCATCAATGATGAGAGAGAATCATTGATCAGCTGCCTCCCCCTATTGGGGATTGAGTCCACAACCCCAGGCATGTGCCCTGACTAGAAATCGAACCCTGACCTCCTGGTTCATGGGTTGATGCTCAACCACTGAGCCATGCCAGATGGGCAAGGCTCTCAGCACTTTTAACTAGGACTTTTACAATAAGCTTCTAGGTGGAATTAAGACCTGACTTCTTCACACTTCAGCTAAGATCTCAGACTTTCACCAGAATATCTTTCTAAAACACTGATCACATTATGGAACTCTTCTGCTAAAAATACATTAAGTAGCTCATCGTCTCCTAGTTCAGTGTCTGAATCATTTAGTACAGGCTTAACAATGGGCACTTTTTTTTTCAGCTCTATACTCTCCTTCCATTTTATAATACATAATTCATATAAAACTTTTGTATTGTACTAGTAAAGGGAAGAAGCTAGTAGAAAATGAACAATTAAAGAATAAGCAAGAGGAAGAAGAAGGAAGATGGGAAGTTGAATATCTCATTCATAACCACATACAAGATTTATCTTAGATTAAGTTGGTTTATATTTGGCCAAGTTTATGAAACGCCTTTTTCCCATTTTAGAAATCACTGCCTTGAATTCACCCCTAAATCTGGTCTTCTCCAGTCTTTCCCATCATAATAAACAGTAATACCTTCCATGTATTGGCTCAGCTCAATGATCTAGGAGTCATTTTTCACTCATTTCCCTTACAGCATTTCCCTTTCCAATCTATCAGCAAATCCTGATGATGGTATCCCAATATATCTTTCAAATCCCGACAGTTATCGCTACTTTCATCTCTAATATCACCATGGTAGTCCCATCCACAAGCATCTCTTATTTACTCTTCTTCAGTAGCCTCTCATCTGGTCTTCATACTTTCATTCACTGCTCCAGTCCCTTCTCCTGTAGCATTCACTCACTGTTAAAATTCAAATTGCATAAGTGACTTACTGTTTAAAATCCTTCAATGACTTCTTGATGCATGTAAAATATAGTCTATACTCCTTGCCCCCAAGGCCCCATGTCTCTCTCAGACTCCATTTTTGCAGCTCCCTCCTAAGCTCACTAAATCAACTACTCCAGTCTTTTTTCAGTTTCTCAAATTTACCCAACCGTACCACATCTTTGAAAATGCTCTTTCATCACTCTGCCTTTCCCAATGGTTCTTTGCACTCTTCATGTTTGAAATATATATTTTATATATATATATATATATATATATATATATATATATATATATATATATATATATATATATTTGAGGCCCAGTGCATGAAATTCATGCACAGGTAGGATTCCTAGGCCTGGCCAGTGATCAGAGCCGATCAGGACCTTCCAGCTGCTGGCCAGGGTTTCCCTGCTGCCAGCCAGGGCCTTCCTTCATTCCACGCCACCCCCTGGTGGTCAGTGCACATCATAGCAAATGATCAGTCTCCAGTCGAACTCCTGTGGGGACAATTTGCATATTAGGCTTTTATATATGTAGATTTGCTTTTTCTTAAGCTCTGTGAGGACCAAGAGTCAGAGACCCTGTGTTTCTTGAACACTTTTATACCTCCAGTTTGCCTCAGCACTATTCTTGGCACATAATTTCCATTGAATCAAATGTAATACAACACACAATTAGAAATATTATTATTGGGAAGCAGGAAGGACATCTATTTCATTTAAACAGAAGGAAAGAGGAAAGGAGAGGTTCAGAGCCATAAGGGTTATAGCTTTGGGCTAGGAAGTTACCTGGAAGCTTTGATTTCCTGTCTAAACTAAGGGGACAAATCCCCTGCCTAGAATTAATGAGTAGGTTATGGGGTGTGAGGTTTGAAGAGAGATATTGAAATTTGAATAACTACTGAAAGGAATGGAAAAATTACTAAAGAAAATCTAGAAGAAATGGTAAATGGTTCTGGTGTGTTGGTGATCATGACCTTGTAAATGACCTCAATCAGCAGAGTTGAGAGATTTTCTGCAGCTCTTCTGTTCAGCAGTGTCGGCTTTGGGGAGAAATCAGTTAGCTTCAATGAACCAATGTTTAAAGTTTGAAGAATAGGTGTGAGGAATGTTTAAAGGGGTTAATATTTTTTTTTGAGAACAGTGGCTAAAGTGATTGGGCTTATTAAGAGATATCTTAGATAGAGTAGATAAAGAAGTGAAGTCACATGGGTGCTACCAGCTTGTGACAAAATGGAATGGTGACAGGAGTGAACTCCATGTAGCTAGTAGAGGGGCATAGGGGCAGGGAGAGATGGGGCAGAGAGATCTCTTTAGAATAAGATAGGATTTCTCCCAAGATCTTATTATACCTGACAACATTTTAACTTAAGACTATGGTATCTTGAAGGACAAATGAAGCAAGAACATTTCACAGAATGTGTGATAATAAAGTGATTCATTTGGCAACAGCAAAACAAGGCCAACTCAGGTGCTATGAACAATTCATGCATTTCAACAATTTCCAGAGACAATTTGATAAATGACCCAGGAAAAATGCAGATCACCAGCAGGTTATGCTCAGAATAGTTTCCCTCTGGCGGTGTTGAGTGAGCATTCCTCCAAGAATGTACTTAATGAGGCACTGACTGCACTAATCAGCCATTCCCGGCTCTGTAATGTCTCCCTGAGTACTGGAGCTAATTTCCTAATAAATGAGTTTGTTCAAATGTTCCCTACCTCTACACAGAACACATTAACAGGAGTTGCTTATCTTTAGTTGTTTACCTCACTTAACAAATATTACTGATGAAATAAAGCAACCTCAGGTGTGACTTAGCACTAACATAGCAAAAGGAGGAATCAGACATAATTTTCAGTAGGATCATAGCAGGCAGATGAAAATCAGACATCTGTATCAAGAATTAAAAAACACACACGTGCATAATACTTTACAAATATGTCATATATACTTAGTTTATTTGACCCTCACATCAAACTTGTGAGGTGTTATCATTGCCTGTCTATCGTACAGATGAGAAAACTGTGCTTTAAAGATTCCATTGGGTTATCTAAGGTCACTGCTGAATCGAATTCACTTCCTCAATTTTCCAATAGTATTATACTTTGGAGGTAGAATGCTACGTGGGCAGTTCAACATGGCACAAGGGGATGGTGCCTTGGGAAGGATCTCATTTAGGCTTGCTTCAGTTTGTGCTCCCGGAAATAGAGAAGTGTGCAGATAGGAGGATGCATTTCTATCATGGCGCCACTAGGTGGCAGGAAAGGCCACCACTAGAGTCTAGTGCTTGTCACTAGATACTTGGTTTCAAGTGGTCAACTCAGGCAGGAGAAAAGAAGCAAAGCAATGCTATTCTTTCCAAGTTAGAAAAGGGTGCGTATGTGTGCTCAAGCATGTGCGTGCATGCATGTGTTCACAGGGCAGAGGAACTGAAAATTGAATAGAACTGTTACTGTCCTCTGTGCACTGTCCAATACCCCTGGTAGGTAGGACCAGAGTGAAAGAAAGACCTTTATATCTGGCGTTTCAATATATACTGTGTTCTTCTAGCCCACACTGCAATCCCACCCTTGGATTATGGGTGTCCAGTTAGGTATTACATGATGTCCAAGATGACCATTGTCATTCAGTGTCAAAGTGGGTGTTCCCTCAAGAAAAGTGAATTTGGTACATTAATGCTTATGGTTCCTCAAGCGTATTCTACCCAGGCGCTGGCAGAGAAGAGCAACTTGCAGTATCATGTGGGTAAAGGAACTCAATAGTTGGAGGAATTCAAGGAACCTTTGACACATTGCTAGAGGTTAGTTGCAAATTTTGGTATTGGATAAATTATGAGAGTTCTCGATTAGAGCATTCCATATCGAAAAATATATGTGGCTGGAAATGAAGCGTTGGAATCCATGTTTTCCACTAGATGATGTTTAGATTCATCCTAAATCTTCTGAAAGGTAGCAAAAAAATGTTCCATCTGTCTATCTTTACCGACTCTGCAGATGCCCCCACACCATTTATAAAACCGAAGTTCCCATCAATTTGAAGCGTGTTCTCCTTGAGGAGACACCTTCTCCACTGGAGGCAGCTGCTTCTCTTCTGGCACTGAGGGTAGGTCAGGTGCTTTCGGCCCACACCTGGCCACGGTGAAGCGACTCATGTGAAGAGCTTCCTCATACCCTGGGAGGGTGTCCACGGAGGAGGGCAGCTGGCCCAGAGGGCTGTGGGAGTGGGCCACCGCCAGGATTCTCCGGGCCGCAGGGCCAAACACTGACTGCAGGGCTGGTGAGGGGAGAAGGAAGAGAGCTAGAGTAAATGTGACATCCTCAGAAATCAGGCTTACAACACTCTAAGTTTCCCTCTACCTTACAACTGACCAAACTCGTTGTCAGCTCTGCCACAGGGTTATGAAAACCCTGTGCAGCTTGTTTAGAAACCAACTTCACTTTCTGCTAAAAAGACCCTGTCTTCTCTGGTATCCTCGAATAATCTAAATTGGGTTCCCATATCCCACCATCGTTGGCAGATTTTGAACCCTTTAGACTACGGGTTCTCAACCTGTGGGTTGCGACCCCTTTGGGGGTCGAACGACCCTTTCACCGGGGTCGCCTAAGACCATCGGAAAACACATATATAATTACATATTGTTTTTGTGATTCATCACTATGCTTTAATTATGTTCAATTTGTAACAATGAAAATACATCCTGCATATCAGATATTTGCACTACGATTCATAACAGTAGCAAAATTTCAGTTATGAAGTAGCAACAAAAATAATTTTATGGTTGGGGGTCACCACAACATAAGGAACTGTATTAAAGGGGTTGCCGCATTAGGAAGGTTGAGAACCACTGCTTTAGACTGACCCACTGATGTTGCAGTCTCCTTAGAAATATGTATTTCTGCCTTATTTATCTTTTCTCAAAATGCCTGGGAGGCAGGAAAGGTGAGCAACAGCACGTCACATTGTTCTCTTTGCAAAACGAAAATCACAGTGTTTTGCCACCTGTTGTTCTGCCTGGTATTTGCACTCCAACTTTAGTAAATACTAGACTATAAAGAAGAGAACAGAAGAAAATAAAGTGTCTTATGGTCATCAAAAGAATGTTGAAGCTCATACTTTGTGTATCAAGAGGTGGAGAATAGATCCCATCTGTGGTAGACAGATAGATATGAGCAGAGCAAGGATGATGGGCCAGGTCGAGAAGGTCACCAGGGTGAAAAGCCCCAGGTGCCCAGCAAAACTGGGAAAACAAGAACCTCACGCCCAGGGTAACATTTCCTCCCCTAGCCTATCTCTGACCCTGCCCTTTAGATCTCTGCAGTTCGGTCTGACCTTTCCTCTCTGGGCATGTTGCTAGTTATGAGGGTTAGACCCCCCTTAGAGGGGGACAGAGAAGAGAGCCAGAGAATAACCCTGAAGCATTAAGCTCCATGACAGTTTCGATCAGCAAAACAACACAGGCAGGCCTCGCCTCGGTTGTGTTTTAGCCTCAAGCCCAGAAATGCAGCAAAACCAGACAAGAGGCGGCGCCAGGACTGACATCATCAGGACCAAGTGCATTGACTTATGAGCACCCCTCCCCTTTCCCCCCAATCAGAGGAGAATAGGACCCTGAAAAAACACTTCTGAAAAACTGATGAATATGCTATTGAGATCCCCCTTGAGACCTCCAGAAACATGCCCTCAGGAGGGGCCCAGTGCAGCTCCCTATGGGACATCCCCAGGCCTGTCCCCGCTCCTTCCCCTAGGTGAGTTTTCCATGCCTCGCTCTTATCCTAAGCAACAAGGGTCCTTCTTTTGCCTCCGTAACACTTGTTTCCCGAGCCCATTTCTTCTACGGCTCACTTCCTCTACCTCTACAACTTTTTTTTATCCCCCCACTCTTTTTTTTTGTGTGTGTTTTTCTTTTTTCTTTCTCTGACTTTCTAAATAAGCTTTCTCTTTAAAAAAACAAAAACAAAAACAAAAAACAACACACCGAAAGACTTGGAGAATAAATAACTGAAAGTACACATGACAAACTTCTCTAAATATATAATAATTCCAGATAGAACCTGTGGGTTTTTACAAAATCCAAGACTTTTTGTGGTTGTTGTTAATCCTCACCTGAAGCTATTTTGCCATTGATTTTTAGAGAGAGTGGAATGGAGAGGGAAGGAGAGAGAGAGAGACAGAGAGAGAGAGAGAGAGAGAGAGAGAGAGAGAGAGAGCGAGCCTTGGAATTCCAAGACATTTTTGAAAAAGGGGTATGCTTAGAGCTTAAACCAATTTTCTTAATCATAACTATTTATGAATTGGGTAATTCTTCTCACAAAACATTTCCAACATCATCTCCAGCATTTCATTTCTTCCTTCACTCTCTCATCAGACAAGAACAATGTTTGTGAATACAGGGTTGCTGACAGCACAGGTCACTGCATCACCAGGCTTCTGGTCATTAAAACAACTCTGAGTTACAGCTTCTTTACTGTTCAACCAGGTGTTTTAATACTGTCGTACCATCCTGATCGCGTGTTTGAACCCGGTTCCCTTCCCACGGAAACAGTCAGTGTACTCACAGGTGATCGTGCTCTGGAGCGTGCTATCATGATCAAAAGCGATGACTGTTACTTCGTAGGGTGGCCGGCCCTCATCTTCCCCATTTTGCTGGCGACTCAGGCAGCAGCGGAAGCACACCGAAGTCAGGCCACACAGGAGAAGCAGGGCGCCAATTACCACCAGCAACCTGCAAGGACCCCACCAGCACCAGAGCTCTGGGTTCTGCTGCGTTTCCTAACTTGGGCATAATCAGCCTTCCACATCTGCGGTTTGATTCTTGTGTGGATCTTTTATAGAGTAATTGTAAGATTTTAATTCCAAGGCTTTCACTTCACATGTTATACTTCCTTACTTTGTCAGCAGGGCAGAGTCAATTTGTTAGAAACTTAGCAAGAGGTGTAATGTGACTTGGAGGGGCTGCTTTTTACTTTACTGAAGTCGCCTCTATAGGCTATTTTAGAGCTGATCTGAGAATGTAGACAATAATCTGTTGATGTTGCTCGGGAAGATGGTATTGAAATAGGAAATCCTGTCATATTGTCACATAGGGTGGTGATGAAGTAAAGAAACGACTCCATGCGATGCTATGCAATTAAGTAGGCTGGCGGTCTCATATACATTTTTTTTTCCTGCTGTCAAACATATTTAAACTAAACAAACAAAAACAGTGGCTATTATAGCTGAAACTTACCATATATACCAGAGATGTACCCAATCTGTAGTCAGGCAACTATGAAGAAAGAACAAAGTTTTTGCAATAAACATATAGTCAATTCCTATTATGATTCCAGAATCAAAACAATGAGTTACAATAATAGGATCCCTTGTTAGGATAAAAGCATCCCAGGCTATATTAACGTCAATGTAATCTATTGTGTAATGGGATGCTTTAAATAGTTTTCTGTGATAGATGGCAGTATGTAAATCACTATAAGACAGAGTAAAGTATTGCTCATGAATTAATATTCATAGAAAATATAGCCATGACTATTGTAAATAGTTATGATGACAGTTACCAAGAAAGAACTTCCCAATGCGAGTTTAAAAGAGGTTGGGCCTGACGGGCATGGCACAAGGGTTGAGTGTCGACCTATGAACCAGGAGGTCACGGTTTGATTCCCAGTCAGGGCACATGCCCGAGTTGCAGGCTCGATCCCCAATGTGGGGTGTGCAGGAGGCAACTGATCAGTGATTCTCTCTCATCATTGATGTTTCTCTCTCTCTCTCCCTCTCCCTTCCTCTCTGAAATCAACAAATATATTTTTAAAGAGTTTGAAAATGGGTGTGAAAGTTAACATTTGTATATATTTGAGATTAATAAAATTTAAACATAAAGAAAATTTCGGTTATAAGCATGAAAGCAATACAATGAAATTCATAATTTATGTATTGCAAGTTGTTGCAGAAAGGGCCACCATAAAAACTCCCACCATAAAAAGGGCCCTAAATTTTCACATCCAGAATCAAAACTGACATACATGATGGCTGAGGCCAAACAAAAACGAGGAAAATGTAGAAACCAAATTCATCATGATGAAAGCTAATTAAATATTGTGAATTAACTAGGACAATTATACATTTTCTCTACTGGGATAAAAATGTGGATTGCATGAGAGAAGCTCAGGAGTGGGAAGGGGAAGTAAAGGAAAATATTTGTTTATCTTTAAAGACGGAGTAAATTTAATATTACTTTCTGATATATTTATCTATTAAAATCTATTGAAATGCGCACTCTAACCTCTCTGTATGTTGTGGAACATACAGTTGGCATTTTCACTGAACAATGTCTCCTCCAGGTTTTCTCACAGTCCCCCCCTCCCCCACCCTCTTTCCCCCTATTGTGTTCATCAGTTTATTTTGCTCTTTAGATTCCACACATACGTGAGATCGTGTGATATTTGTCTTTCTCTGACTGGCTTATTTCACTTAGCGTAATAATCTCCATTTGAACATTCCCCATTTGTTCAAAGCCCTTTATAGCTCTACGTTGTGATTCTGATTCTATTAAAATGACTCTTCCTACGGTGATGCTGAAACCTCAAAGAGAGTGTGAAAGTAACCAAGGCCATCACCATTTCCCTTGGGTGTAACATATTTGCATTGAGAAACTCTTCCCATGGCTAAATATGCATTTTCCTTCAGCCTGAGCAAATCTTGGGTCGAAACTGTCATTGATTTTTTTTTACTAGTTTACCTCTAAGTGGAATGAATCTTTTCCCTTTATATTCTTTGTGTCTACATAAGACCTAATTGTGATAGGTTTAGATTAAGGGGTGATTATCTCAAAGTAATAGTTAAATAAAGGCTGCAATAAATATTAACATGCTCCAAAAAATAAAATACCCCAGATTTGAAGCGGTGATGTACCTTTGGAAATCACCCACATGTATCTGCCTGTGACTAAGATATTGAATCCAGTCTGTCTGCATGAGTCACTAAAAATGATGAGTAAGAAACTCTTCTGCAAATCTCTATGACTGCCTAAATTGTGATGATTAAGACGGCTGCTTTTAAAACTGGCTTTGGAAAAAAACACTGTCAGCAGTGTTATTCTGAGTATTTCGGATGACAAAAATGCGTGTCTTTATTTTGGGATAACCCGTCTGTGGGCTAAGTGCCCATTTAAGTAGAAATAAGGGAAGTCACAGATATCTGGTGACATTTTGACCCTGTTTTGGGTATTGATGTTTTTGTCTGTCTCTCCTTCCTCTGCAGTTGGACTCTCAGATACTTACTGTTCAGGACTGACACAGCTCTCCTCACATCTTGCCCAAGGAAGCTGTAGGAAGGGAAATAGTCTCAGACAGGGAAACTGTCTCATCTTCTCTGCCCACCAACCTATGACTGCTATGTTAGATCAGTTGGGGAGAGCAGGGTAAATGCGAGGACAAGGTCATGGGGTCAACCCTGTTTAGGGCTGTTTGTTTTCATCTCTCCGATACCCAGCCATTACTACACTTGAGGTGGGAGAACCTGGAAGAACAAATATCTAATCTGTTTGTTTTTTTCTTATGGTGGTGGCTGAGCATCACTGCCCTGTGAATGAGAGGCAGCATTTATATCAATTCGTTTGTCCTAGAAATTTCCTGATCTGTCCCTCAGGGTATTGTGACTGTCTTCCTAACTCGTTCCCAGTGCAAAATGAATTCTGCCCTTTTTCATTCCCTCGGTACATCCGTAACTGACCATCCGAGGGAAGAAGAATTTGAGAAAACGTATTGAGTAGCTACTATATGCCAGTCAGATGGCTGATAATTTTTAATATTTCTTAACATTTCATCTTGATAACCATGCAGGTGGGTATATTTAACCTTATTTTAAATAGGTAAGGGGCCAAGGCATAGGGGTTTAAGTAACATGACCCCCTGCACACACCTCTTGATTTGGCCTTAACTCAAATGAAACCCAAACGAACGAGGGGCCAATCTGCTCTAACAGCTCCTTGGCATTGTTAGCAAGTCCCTTCAACTCCTTGTAAAGAAAGAAACTTCCACTCCTTCTCCCACCTGACATTTTGGCTGACTTTCTCCTTCAAAAACCTATCTAGGTAAACGTTTGCTCTAGAAACTGTTTCTCTCTTCCAATAACTTGAAAGACTTGGTATTTCAGGAAACCAACAACAAAGACCACAAAGGTCCTCTAAAAAGGGACAGAGATTTACATTTACTTGGGGTTTTATGAGGGGCGGGGGAGGAAGTGCACACATACTCCTAACGTATCAGAAAAGGATTTTGTAAAAGATCTAACAGCTGCCTTCTGCTGATAACATTTGAGAAACTACTGGTTTTGTTTTAATTTAAAATAGTTGACCACTAAGGATGACAAAGTGTGAGCTTCTTCAACCCAGTTTTGGTACTTGGTTTCATTTTCTTGACTAAAAGCTAAAAACACGGAAGATCTCAGCAGATAAAATGCCTCTTTCAGGCCTGTTGCAAAAAGAGAAGGAAAAGAGAAAAGGAGGGAAGGGAAGGTCAAGGGAGAGAAGAAGAAGCAAAAAAGAAGATACAAGAAAAAGAACAAGAAATGGATTTTCAGACATTAATTTGACTGTTATACAGGAAGCAAAACAGACACAGCCCACGCCCTGCTAGAAGTGGTACAGGAATCTGATAGTAGGCAGTTTCTTCATTTGCTCTCCTTAACGGATTTCATAGCTGTGTAAACTTCCCCTTGATAGTTGTTCAGAATCCCTTAGTCCAGTGACCCCTCTCCCAGCTAAATGAGTTACTCAGGGGCTTCTGAATTCTAGTGGGGAGAAAAATGAAAGATCCAAAGTATTTTTAAAGAGTTTCTCCTCTTTTAACTTTAATGGAGGCACCTTTAAACTCCAAGAATAGTATTAGGGCTGATGTGGGAAAGTCCATTTAGGAGAATTACATACCTAGTTTTGATTATTTGCTTGGGAATTTGAGGGATGAGTGATAAAATGTTAAAAGAGAGAAATATGCACACGGAAGTGGCATTTCTAAATTGCCATAGATACCTGACTTGTATCTACAGTTGCCCTAATTTCTGTCCCCTGTTTCACTCATCTTATCATTCGTCACACTTGCACTATGTCACCCTATACAACAAAGGAAACATTCTAGTTATTCATTTGCCACTACCCCTTTTATCTTCCCCCCTCATTCATTTTCCCCCAGATTCATCTGAGAGTTGGTTTATCCAAGAAACAAAAACAAAAGCGTTATTCCCGCATTTTCACAACTTACCTGGATGAAATACACCAGGGTAGAGGCCAACACGGTGTGGACTCTCAGTCCCATGGGGCTGAACTCCTGCGTCTCCGGGATCACGCACTGGGTGTCCGTTACCTGCTTTCCATGTTCTGCTGCTTCCTTTCCGTGCTCTGCACCTTGTCTGACTTCTTGACCTAGAGGACTTAGGAGAGACACTTTTCTTAACAATAAATCACTGTTTTCTTTTCTCTCTTTCTCTCTTCTTATTCCCCTGGGCTTTTTATTTCCCATGATCTTTCCCTTCCCGTTCATCCTGCCTTCTTTCTCTTTTCTATTCCTGGTTAGAGGGTTTCCACATTTGCTCCCCTTGTCTTTTCTTTCCTTCTACTATTAGTCCTTTTCTATATGTCTTTAGCTTTCTCCCACTGCCCCCAAAAGAAAGACGTTTGACGAGGACACATCAGTCCTTGGAATTAGGTATTTTTCTAGGCAGTGAGGAGAAACTTGACTTGGAGGAGGATCAAAGAGAGATTGCTCTTCTCCATCAGAAAAGAAGTGATCCTCTTGGTTCTTCCCCACAGCACACCAGGTGGCTGCTGAAGGTTGAAAGTCACCCTGCCAAACCCATTCACTGGCCCTCCACGTGATTAGGCCTCCTCTCTTGCTCTTTGAAACCCTCCCCTTCACTGTGCTGATAATCAACTCTCCCGGTTCTGGGTCATTTATTCCTCACTATTGGAGGAGGACTGAGAGGTTGCCAAATGACCTGGAAAGCCATCCCATCTTTGGAGAAACAGATTTGGAGATTAGAATTTAGAATTTCTGGGTCATGTCCATTAAATTCCTGTCCACTCTGACTTCAATTCCCATTGAAACAAATAGTCAGACAGACTTAAAAAACAAACTGGGTTCCAAAATTTCTCTCTCTCTCTCTCTCTCTCTCTCTCTCTCTCTCTCTCTCTCTCTCTCTTTCTTTCTCAAATAAAATCTTAGGTAAGAGTAAAAATAAGCACATATGGAAAAAACATATAATATTTGTAAAGAAACATATCTATAGGAACAAATGAATGCCGTTTACATGAGTTATACTTAAGTTGGTAATCACTTACTTAATACAAAGTATTTCATAAGAAAATTAGACATTAGTTTATGGAAATGTATCTATTTCATAAGAACTGAATAAAACCAACTTTCAGACCTTTTCTAACTCTGAAAGTCTAATTTTATTGAGTGATTGTTCAGGGCAACTGTTGAGAAAGATTGAGTCCAAGAGCCCTCATACTACATGACAATGTGATGTAAGAATGGAGAATATAAAGTTATTCATTTTTTAGCTAAGGAAATCAGTGAGATAAAAGTCTCATATGACACTGATGATTCGAAACCAGTCAGTTCCAAAATTAAATGAGCAGTACTTTTTTAAAGCTTGGCAAGGTAGAAGGTATTTAATAGGAAAAGAAGAGCAGGACTCGAATCCAGGCCCTCCACTGAGTTATTAAGTTATTTCTCAAGTCCTTAATTTTCTCATTCATATAGGGTATCCCACAAAAATGTATACACAAACTTTGAATAATTATAAAGGCAGTGTTTATTAAAATACATTTCATTTTCAAAATTGAATTATCAGCTGATAAAGTTTAGATACATTTTTGGGGGGGAAGGGAGGAAACCTATATAATAGGAGTGGAATGTCCACTTGACCTGACCTAGATCTTGTTTCAAGGAGAAAATACAATCAGAGAGACGAAGGCATTTTGATTATATTTCTTTCTGTGAACATGGGTAACACCATTAACCCTTTATTTCCCTTTGTTTTTTGTTGTTTTTTTAAGAGAGAAAACACTCTCTTTTTAAAAAAAAGAAATAGGTTTTTATTGATTTTAGAGAGAGGGGAAGGGAAAGGGAGAGAGAAACATTGATCAGCTGCCTCCTACACACCTCCTATAGTCTGAAACCTGTGCATGTGCCTTGACTGGAAACCTCTCTGGGTACAGGATGGCGCCCAACCAACTGAGCCACACCAGCCAGGGCTCTTTCTCTTTTTCTTATCAGAAAGGTAGTACTGCATCATGGCTAAGAATCCAGGTAGATTTTCTGGGATTAAAAGTGCTTTGTCACTTACTAGCTGTGTTATATTGGGCAAGTTATTATATCTCTCTGTTGGTTAAGTTTCATTCCATATAAAATGAAGTGACAATAATAATGATGATGTTACTTCATAGATTTATAGAGATTAAATAAGTTAATGTGTGTGAAATGCATAAATTGTCTCAATATAAGAAACATTTTAAATGTTAACTACAATGACCTTGATTTCCACTCAGTTTTACCAATGACCTTCACCTTCATGGATAACTGATGTCCATCATGCTTCTCATTGTTACCATGACCAAGTTTTACCTATTCTGACATTTTAATTCTTGAGTAGTTTCCCTTGCTATCCTGGCCATCTTTTCTCTCAATCATTCCAGCCTTCACCTGCATGAACAGGTTTGCCAATTAACATGACCTTTTTTCCCTCCCAGAGCACTTTTCTGTCATGTGATAACCATCAACTTCTTGCCCTACAGCTACTTAATAGGTTTGAACCAAATGGGATTCTGTTAATGACCTCCTAGCTACTTGTTCTTTTTTTTTTTAGAATTATTATTGCCACTTCCCCCCCCCCCCCCCTTACTGGATTATTCCCTGGAGAAACAGAGATTTGTGTTTATCTTTATCAAAGTGATTATACCTTGTGAGTTCAGCCGCATCTGAGAGGAAAGAGGATTCAGGAGGAAAGATTGAAGAAGGTACGCAATGGCATGGCAGGTAGCTGAGATAAAGGGGACTGATCTCATTACAATCCTACACAATCTTGTGGTTCCATTAAGCTTGTGAATCATTAGCTTAGACATAAGTTGTTAAGGACGTGGAGTGGAACAAATAGAGGGCACATGTACACAAGCTTTTAATCTATGCTTCAGGGAATTGTTATACAATAGCTGTAACAAGTGGGGTTAAAGAATTACTTATTTCTGGTTCTTTTGATTATTCTCCTTTTGACCTTGTCTAAGTCAGGTGACCAGATTCTCTTCTTCTCTTTGCCTCAGTGAAATAGAGGCCAGGACTATCATCACTCCGAGGCATCAAGCATGAATTACAAAGAGCTAAGCAATGAACAACAGCCACAGCTTCAAAAAATGCATAACATGGGAGAAGAACCCAGTTTCATCTTGCAGCCACTCCACTAGGAAGTGTCTCTATGGAATGAACCAAGATTGCAGCCTGAGTATTCAGTGGCAACCTCAAAGGCACTGAAAGTCAGTGATAAGATTAAATTTAAGGAAGTTTTAATAAAACAGGAGGATAAAGTTTATCACAAGATTATTAGTTGTATGTGCCATGTAACACATTACCACAAATTACATGAACGGCAATATAAAACAGCATTTATTATCTCACATTGCCTGTGGAAGCATGGGCATAGCTTAAGTGGGTCCTCTGCTTAGGGTCTCGCAGGCTGCCATCAAGGTATCTGCTGGACTGCGTTTTCATATGAAGGCTCAACTGGGGAGGAATATACTTCCAAGCTCCCTCTGGCAAATTCATTTCTTTGTGGTAGTGGGATTCAAGTAAGTTTTTTTCTTTAAATTCAGGCAGAGAAAGAGAAGAGGGAGAGAACCTTTAGGCTCTACACCTTTTGTGATCACATACACATGGTCACATACATACTCCAAGCCACAAATCCCACCCACACTCAAGGGCATGAACTTTGGGAGGCAGGGATAATGAGACCCACTTAAAGCCTGTCAAGTCTGTCTAGCTATCTGCCCCACAAGGATTATAGAAATTATCCCCCTGGATTTTTACAAACAGGAGAAACACAAATGTCCATCAATGGGTGAATGGATGAAAAATGTGGTCTATACATACAATGAAATATTATTCAACCTTAAAAAGGAAGGGAATTCTGACACAGGCTACAATATGGATGAACCATGAAGACATTATGTTAAGTGAAAAAAGTCAGAGTCAACATGACAAACATATGCTTCCACTTATATGAGGTTCCTAGAGTAGCAAATTTATAGAAAGAGAATAGAATGGTAGTTTCCAGGAGCTGGGAGAAGGAAGGCATTAGTTAGGGCCTTCCAAAGAAACAGAACCAATAGGATGAGAATATTGAGAAAGAGATTGATTATAAGAAATTGGCTCATTCAACTATAGAGGCTGGCAAATCTAAATGTGTAGTGCAGGCCAGCAGACTAGAGACCTGGGAAAATGATGTAGTTCCAATCTAAAGGCTGTCAGAGGAAGACATTTTCTTACTTGGAGTAAGGTCATCCTTTTGTTCTAGTTAGGCTTTTGACTGATTGGATGAGGCCCTAAATTATGGAGGGAGATATGCTTTACTCTAGTGATTCAAATATTATTCTCACCCAAAACACCTCAAAGAAACACTCAGAAGAATGTTTGACCAAATATCTGGGCACCTTGTGACCCAGACAAGTTGACAGATAAAAATCACCATCATAGGAGTTATTGTTTAATGAGTACAGAGCTTCAGTCGGAGAAGAAAAAGTTCTGGAGATGAAGGGTGGCGGTGGTTGCAAAACAATGTACTTAATGCCATTGAACTGTACACTAAAAATGGTTAAAATGGTGAAAGTTTTATGTACGTTTTACCACAAATAAACAAAGAGAGAAACTACTTGTTTCTATCAGGCTTGAACAGGGGGGGAAAAAAAGAAAAAAAGGCTGTGCTAAAGAGCCAGATCGCCCAGAAGACTGTGACTGATCTAACGTTTAAACGCTCCCGGTTGTGGCTCCTCAGTGTGAGCTTCTAGTTTGAGGGGAGTGAAGACAAAATTTGAGGGGGAACCCTCATGGGGTGTTCTCTACCTCACACTGTACTTTTAAAGTCTTCTATGGAGTGGGTAGTCTCTGCTTTGGTGATCTGAAAAGTCTCTTACTGAATTATTTCAAGAGATGTTCATACTGAATCTATATCTCAACTGTCACCTTTGTTTTCTATTAACTGGCATAATGGAAAAACTTGTGAGCCGAGTTCTTGTCTGGCATCTGATAGAGAAGAAACATTCAACCTAAACTGTTTGGGCCTCAGTTCCACTTCCTCAAAATAAAATAACTGAGACAGATTTTTGCTAAATTAAAACCCAGCTTATGCTGTGTATGTGTTTATAGTTAAGAATCTCACCTATTGTCTACTTTTTGCAGACTATTACATAGTTTATATGGTGTGCCAGTGTAGTAGGAAAGAATGAGTTTTATTAATAGAAAGGGATCTCTCCTTCCCTTTAAAGGACTTGTAATTTTGTTGGTGAGGTGGAATAACATTAACAGAATTGAAATCAATGCATACACTGTGAGATATATAAAATGAGGGGAGAAAAGAAATTAATGATGGTAATTTTACCTGTAGATGTTTAGTAGAGGGGATTGTTTTAGAGGGGATGTTTTTAAAGGAAAAAAAAAAAAAAAGAACTGTGTTTGAATGGAGTATAGGATTTGTAGAACTCATCACCAGATCCTGGTCTGCTTAAGTGAGCTTCCCATGGCTATTGGCCCAAAGGAAAATGAATGATTATGTTCTCCTAGGACCTGGTGAATTATGGAGAAGAATGTCTGAGATATTTATCTCAATCTTAGGCCTCTTCTCAAGAATACAGTTCTCTTAGC